GCAGACCCTTACTGAGGCTCGTAGCATAGTAGATGGTAAATCGAGTGTGATTACAGCTAAGGATAGAGTTATAGCTAAGAGGATAGTACAGGCATCAGTCCATCCTGACACTGGTGAGGTAATGCTCATACAACGCCTTCCATTATTGTATCTCCATCACACAGACTATTCTATTACCTCTGCGTATGGCTGGTTTCGTATCTTTCGGATCAATACCTGTGATAGGGATGCTAACACTAGCTGGGTTCCGTAATAACCCCACATTGGGTAGGACCATTCATAGAAGACCGTCTCACCACTACGACCACAGGTACTGCGGTATGGCAGTTCATCAACCAAAGTCATAATGCCTTATTCAACTATGCTAACCGTAATGCTAGTGCAGAGGTCAGCTGTAAAGACCCTAACGTAATGAAGGAGGCCCAGCGACGGTTCATAATGGGGTACATTGGCGCTGTATCGACTAGTATGGGTCTTGGTAGTGTCCATGATAGAGCATGCCGGATGTCCATCGCTCGGTGTTCTTAGGCTTACTCCTCAATAAGTGCCTTGGCCGTATGTTGACACCAAATGCCGGAGCCTTCTTTAGAACTCTAATACCTTTCCCTGCAGTCATGGGTGGTAACATTGCTTCTGGTAAGGACCATTGTAACCACACTCTGCACTGTAGACCACCTCCTTAGTGCTCCTCATGAGGTGGCATGAGCTGTCCACTGGTATAGCCGTGCGGAGGGCTATCGATACATCTGAGGATAGCATCCAATCTAAAGAGGCTGCTAGAAGGGCTGTTAAGGATACTATCATCACAAGGTACCCTAACCATTCACTTACTCCATCATGTGGATGGTCAGGATTGTATTACCAATACCAGTACTACTTCTACCACCCCTTCTACATCGTGGTGTCTGGACTCGTTTCGTACCAACAGCAGCTTTGCCTGGGACCAAAGCTAATATCATAGGGATGTGTAAGTGGATGGTTATGAGCTCACGAGTCCCTAGCTCTATTCAGCTATCCTCTCCATACTATGCTTCGCCTTCGCCTTACCAGCAGCAGTAGCCTTGTTCCCCCAAGAAGGCGCAATGAGGGTTGATGAGCTAGAGGATGAGGTGGTGGTGTTATTCTCATGGTATGGTGATATCCTATGTCATCAGGCCCAAAAGGAGGCCCTCTCTCGGTGGGGTCCTGCAGGAATAACTCCATCATCTACTGTGGTCTACAATAAAGGCATCTGAGCACTTCACCTCCCCCCATGTTGCAGTTTGAGGCATTTGTGTTTCTATTATCGTCTTATAAAAGCTTGTGAAGTCATGGGAAATCAATTCACGGGGGGTTACGTGCTCCTTGAAGCAGCACTCTGGTTAGCCGCCTTCCCGTCGTATCACATGATGGGTTATGGACATAACGATCGTAGCCCCTGTTCTCCATCTACACCAGAGGGTATACCCATTGAAGGGGTATCAACAAATGGTATAGCTAATAGGCCCAGGAGTAGTACCATCAGTATGAGAGGTGTGGGGGATAACAATCCCAGTACTGTCACTACGCCTACCTTTGCATAGGCGCTGCTGTCTTAGTCCCCAGTACTGTAGCTCTATTACAAGATCGGCTCCAAGGTTCAGTAGAGGAGGATGGGAAGGTTAGAGACTGTCACCGTTAGCGAATGGATATTCGTTAGCAGATTCATAAACCTGTCTTGGCACTACTTGATGACATTAGCCCTAGTGGGGTCGATACTGGTCACGTAGCGGCCTTCAACGGGTCGGTTGTGGGTGAAGGGGACGAGCTGCCTTTCAAGGACCATACACCTAAAGTCATAGATGGTTTATTTATACTTGAATAGTAGCACTCATCAGGTCCCAACACCAACAACAACGCTACTTCGTGCCTATGGTGGTATTGGCCTACTAGGAGAGATAGTAGATAGGTTGTGGAGAAGAAGTAGTGATGCGTGTGTCTCATATGTAGTCGGAGCCTTCCTCGTGTTAGGTTTGAATGACCCAAGACTTCGTATGCGACTCTTAGCTTATCAGCCCGACCAATCAGGTAACCACACATTGCTCTTTCCCTATTATCCCTCTCGGTAGACCATGCTCACCAGCAGCAGCAGATGCAGCTACCCCCAAGTGTAGTAAAGCGTGCCTGGATGCATATACTAGCTCACAGCCTTCTAGCTACTACACCATCGGAGGCTCAGTATCTGGTAAGAATAGACTATACCTTAGGTTAGTAGTCGATCATCAGACATACCTCCTACTCCCACCTCTCACCTCACCATCCTATGATACAGCAGCATTCGCTGTACTCCCTACCACCGAGTATCATTTATCGGCCCTATTGGAGAACTTTGCTATGGTGTCCCAGGATATAGCCGTGACGGTTAATGATAATCAGCCTACTAACAGGGACATAGCCAAGGCCATGCGCGCTATCATTGATACATCTACTCCTCTTATACTATCATCATCGCCATCGTCATCAGCATCGTCAACACGGTCTAGGAGTATTCCTACATCATCATCACACCAGAGTGGACAAGATCATCTCTGCCCGCATGAGTCGTCATCATTCACCACTTGGTAAGTCTACTCTTGTTCAAGTCAATACATCTTCTCCTCAGTTGCCTGGACTCAGTCTCTACTACCACCACGTCGTATCCTGCTCTTCATACATGCACACCACTACTATCTTTCTGTCTTACCCCTACCACAACTCTGTATCCTTCTACTGAATGCCAGTATGATGCAGTCAACCAACAACAGGAGCATAGATCCCCGGTTATTTCCCTATTGGGCCTACTTGGTGGAGTTGAGGGTATAACAAGGCTTGTCAACAGGACAGTTGAACTCATTGGTGCCGATACCCGTATAAGAGCTTACTACATCCGCAATGCGACTAGTCAGTCTACCTCTCCCTCCATACGTCCTCATGCCCCTACAAGCCTATCAACATCTCAACAGTCAACTGTCTGTGTTGTTGCTCGTATCATACCACCATTAATTGACTATCTTGTCGCGAAGGTCAGCTGCTATTCTGTCTTCGATGGTTTGCATCTCGAGGAGATGAGGACGACCATTTCCATCAGTCAAGCTCATCGCTTCCTCCCTCTATCTGACTACCATTTCGATTGTGTATGTCAGGACTTCCATACAGCTCTCACTGATTGCGGTGTCGTTGATACCAATATAGCATCTCAGTTTGGTGTGGTATTGGAATCATGTAGGGAAGACGTCCTCCAAGGGCACTATGAAAGAAAGTGAGTAGCTATACAACGATGATTCGGCCACAGTAGAGACTCCTCAGGCCTTCCCCCTGGCAGAATTCTCGTCGTCGGCGTGGTAGCAGTGAAAGCAGTATGAGTATCAGTAGTTATTCTCGAGGAAGGCATGTGAGCTCACCAAAGGAGATGTTCAATCGAAGAGCCATCGCTACAAGCAGTGATGATCTAGTTCCTCAAGTATCAGAGAGTTCCTCATATTACTTTATGGATAATCGAAGGACTGCTGGATGGGCTGAGGTCCATTCTGGTGGACGAGTAATTGAACTTGACACAGCGCGAAGTGTATCAATGAGTGGAAGAAAAGAGAAGATGTATTCAACTACAATTTCTGTTGGGGCTGGTAAAGTATTTCCTCAATAATAATGTTTTGATTATTGTGATAGTGTGAACTTTCATCTTTCGGTTTCATATGCTGCTGTATTGCGTTTTATGATGTGGGAGCTCGTTGATTGTATCGAGATAAGAATCAGACCCAAGACTGTGAGATCTTCTGCCGTCGCTTTCTGGCGACAGCAGAAGATCTGATGATTAGATTACTTTTATTAGGACACTGGATTATCTCGTTGCTTCCGTGGAGGATTATCTCAATTGGATGTAATCAAATTGTGATATATTTCCCTATTCTACACCGATGTGGATGATATCAGTTCCCACCTGACGGCACTGAGCAGCAACATCATATTTCTAGTAGAAACAAATTGGTAGAGGGTATACATCAATAACAGCAGGTAAGGACTTATCGTGTTCCTTTAACGAAAGCAATGCAAATACCGGCCAGGATGCATGCAATACATCCACCAATCATTATTGATGCGTAACCTACAATAGAATATCATGCTCATACCAAGAGGGGTAGAAATATCACCTCCGAAGGCGTATGTCTCTTCCTCCTGGCCTTCCTCAATTGATGTATGACCAAATAGCTGTAGAGTTGCACCTGAGGGGTTGTCAAATTGTATACGATCATCCAACATTACCCCAGAGAAGAGGTCCTATGGCTGAGCCCAAGAAGGCCGATACGCCCCAGATGCCGAGATCCTGATAATCATCGATTGAGGCGATTTTATGCACGGAGGTGCATTACCTTGGCTGCAGCATCTTCTGAGTCGAGAGTACCCACTTTCTCAGCATCACTTGCTGTTGTATCATCACTATCGATCAGTAGTGGTGTATCATCAACATCGCTAGATTTGATCTGCTGATGCTTGCTAGGAAGTGTGTCCAATGCAATAGCATAATCAACACTGAGGAAGCACCCACATCCAACACCGTATATGATACAACACGATAATATAACTGTAACCGGAGAGATCACTGAAAGAAATCATTATGGCAGAACTCAATGTAATGACTTACTGGAGTCTGCCGGTCTAAAGGGCGCAGTCATGAAGAGGAGGTATACAGCAGCCATAACAGTGCCTACTATGATAATAAAGGGAACATATGGTAGGAGACCATTACATGCTGCATACACTAACTTCTTCCTACCAACTTCAGCATTATCGGAAAGTCTACCCATCGGATATGCTACTGCCGCCGCTACTACCTATAGAGCGACAATGGAGAATCATCAATCATACAATATAGTTACCTGTGCTGTGATGGCTATCTCAGCGATCCATACTTGCAATTGACTCTGTGAGGGGCGAGTGCCATCATTACTGGCTGGAGAGGGGACAGGGTATGATGGAGACCTTGTTGGAGCTATTACGTATTTGATCCCGTAGAAAGTAGAAGATGAATGCTTGCACTGACACTCCAATGTAATAGAAGGTACCTTTACAAGATAGCTCACAATAGGATGAGGATGAGGAGCATCGTACGTCCGATGAAGACCCATAAGAAGTCATAACCTTGAGAGCAATCCAATGTGAAGGATGATGCTATAGCTGATAGGGTTAGGGGCCTGGATAGAGAGGTGCGAAGTGTAACGGTGATGCTGTCGATGATGCTGACCACCTCGATAGATATTTGGGTAATAGTGTTTCCTTAGCGGTGATACAGCTTATTATGGTGGTGCAAAGGACCATTACGGCATAGACCATGTATATAAGGTGATAGTCATGGACTGAGGTATGGTCATGAGTGGAAGCCAGTAAGTCCGGGAAGGATTACTTCTAGTTAATAAGACTACAAGAAATCCAGTGATGCTACCAGTAAGTTGATGTACTGCTACGATTCCAGATGCTGAACCCTGATGAGACATGCATCCATTACCCCCCTTCCAATACTCAAAGTATACTACCTGTTGCGAGGGCTGTATTAAGTCCGGTACTAGACCGCATTGAGCGGAGAATATCGTATTCAGCGATATCATCGACATGAAGAGGAGGAAAACATAGAGACCCCTGACAACAGCGATGGACAACAATATGATGATACTCATTTTACCCGAGTTTAAGGGCGCTTGCAGCCCACATGAGGAGAACTCCAATAATCCCACTAATCGTACATCCTATTATAAATGGTCTCCTTCTACCCAACGATGAAGTGCATTCATCAGAGAATCTGCCAGCTATAGGGCAGATTAATTGTGATATTCCCACAACACCTGATATGATACTGCTGATATGCCTACAATTTTACTACTGTAGTGTTACCAAGCATAACTCCCAGCATAGGTCCTTGAGACTTAGGCCATAGTCTTAGAGCCTCGGCGGGTAGTACAAAAAGTCCTACCATAATCACACGGTAAACATAATGATGATGATTATAATACCCTCATTACCCATACTGCCGCATATTGCGCCATATGGTAAGTTGAAGCTCGTCAACATCATAAGCTTTATCGAGCTCATGTGTTCACGCTTCTTCTGCTGTTGAATGAAAAACTGTTTTCTTGTCAGCCTCTTACCCTCCTCCTCCTCCTTTGACGATCCTATTGTATGGTGAACACCATACTTAACACAGCTATCTGTAGTAATAATATTACCACCAAGAGGCGTTGATGAGTCTGGAAGGGATACCATGGAGGTATGAAAGAAGTTACGAAAAAGATCTATCGATATTCAACACGATAATCAGCTTGGCCATCTAAGGCCTATCCTGTTTTAATGCGCAGCCTTAATCTACAGTAATAATAAAGCGAGTGCGCACCTTCAACCGCGCTCGCCCTTAAATGCAATACTCACCGTGTAATCCACCTCTGAGGTTCACGACGTAACGCTGTTGTGTTATGTAGTTTATGATAGGGTGGGTATTCAACAGAACACCACAACATAGATCTATAACTAGATGTTGTTCTATGGTGGGCATCGAATTAAATGTTATCTTATATTACTCCTTATACGTGAGGACCAATCAACTAACGATGATAGTAGAAGGGGGCTCCAAGCATCGGAGGTGGGAGTTTCAGTGTCGTAAGGGGTCTCGTTCGGATTATAATAGGTAATAACTACCCTGGAAGACTGGGCCTTCCCACAGCAAAGCATATTGAAAGTAAAGTCTCTTCCATCACGATTATTGTGGTATCAATAACTACTTCAGTTCACTCCAGCTATTGGGGTGCCACATGTAGCAGCAGTAGAAGAGAATACTGGGTCGGATCAGGATGGACCTCTTAGACTGTATGCTGCTGAGTCTATTAGTAGCATGCAGATAACGTCATCTGGTAAGATAAGCAGATGTAGTATCGATATAACTACATTTTTAGGTAGCTCCTTCGACACCTTTAATCATCCTTCACCCCGTATACGAGTGGTATCAGCATCAACATCTCGACAATACTGCACTGATGATGTACTCGGTTATCAATACTGATCATCATCTTGGATGATTTCGTATAGGATCTAGTCATCCCCATGCACGTATGGAGGAGTCTTAGTGTAACTACGGAAGGCATATCTATTGCTGTAGACCACGATAGTGCTCTTCTAGCTCCACTCGGTATAGAGGTCAGTACTTCAACCTTCAGCGCTGGTACTACCGAGTAACGTAGTTGCTTCGAGCGAGCGTGTCTGATGATGATACCCTGCGGACTCCAACATCAGTATTATCTTCAGATGGTGTTGCCATGGCTAGTGACATAAGGTAGAGGCGGCTATCATTGTAGTCTTATTATCATGATGATGATAATTCAAGGTTCATGCACGGTGGACTCTTCAGACTATGCTACGCTCCTGATGGTACCTTCGCAGAGTCCACTATATCGTCAAATAGTGCCACACCGGCTCCTACAGGCTCCCAGGCCATGATCCTGTATAACAATCTACTACCAATAACCCTTCAGGCAATGTATGATTATTAGCATGAGTTAAATCTAAGCGTACAGGTATTAGGAGTATACAGTACATGCAGCAGTAATGGGTGCCTACAACGTGAGAGATGGGACTGTTTTTATAATACGAGGTGGTGGGTCTATTCTACCATACTGATGTAGTTGATACCTTTCTTAGAGGTCCAAGACTTCCACCAACACTCTCCCATCATTCACCTACCTATCAAGAACTAAGCGATAAGTGTATAATAACGGTAACCAACAGAGATGGATGGGGTATACAGGAGTCCATGACATCGTTATTATGGTGGACCCAACTATATGATGCTGATGATCTTGATAGTAGTGGTATGTTGATACAATCATCAGCATTATCAACAACTCATGCTAGTGGTAGACAGTGTGGCCAACGTCCAGCTGAGTCCACCATATTCAGATCTGATACCATAGGAGGTAGCCTACATTGTGGTGTTGTTCTTATACTCACCAGTGCCATTAGGTGTGTACATATCGAGGCCTCTAGAGCTGAGGACTGATAAAGACGCTGTCTTACCAAGTATTGGTGGTTGGGTGGAAGGTGGTAGAATACTGGGGCTGTGCTACTGTCCTGATTATGATGCTGCTGGTGCTGCAGGGGGTATATTGAGGTCCAACAATCTCTTGAAGGATACTTCACATCATCATGTTCCTCAGATGTGATACGTTCCATGATTTCATCCAACCAGTAGGCTACCTCTATCTCTTCAGTATTAGCATCTGTGATGCTGGTGATGTCTCATGCGCGGACAAGTATTGATCATCCCAGATGGCAGCTTCCTCATCTCGATACCCTTTAGGTATTACTCGATATTACCTATGCAGGAGTTCCTCCTACGCATAGACTGCCCACCTGGAGGAGGCTGTTCGAGTAGTAGTAGTAGTAGTATCTATCACTTTGTACCATCATCATATCTACACTAGGTACATTAGGCTCGGATGAATCTCGTGTGAAGTTGTTATATACTGCAGCTGCAGCTAGAGGGGAATCACCATTGAGTGGTGATAATAATATACCCAACTGGTCTGCAACATCTCCATGCAAGACTATAGTAGCAACATCTGCACCTATATCGAGTACTGGTAGAGGGCATACTATTGATCGTGGTATTTGGAGTGATGTGGAATACCGGTATGATGGTGTCAATGCGCTTGGTGGAGGCTCACGTGCTGATTACAAGTAGGAACCGCAGTGACGTAGCATCATCATGCAAGTTGCTTGTTAGATTCTGGTCATCACCAAATCCTGATCCGTTGATAGACGTTGGCACTTCGTATACCATATGGTCACCAAGGTTGGCAGTAGGTATTGGAGAATGGGCTCTGGTGTGCTACTGCAATGATAACTGTGACCAGGGTGAGTGTTAAGGAGACTTTCCAGGTCCTATAGTTGTTCTACAATCGACAGGGACTTCTTGGTTGCAAGCTGGTTATGTATATACTGTTGATGAGATAGGCCTAGGTAGTAGTAGTATGTATTGCACAACATGTAGTGGTAAATCTAAGATCAAAGCTGTTCGTTACGCTAATAAACCTGGTACTATAGCCTTGTATAGTGGTCCTATAATACCACGTCCTCTACCAGTACCAGGGACGAACTCATTGGGTGGTAGTGCCAGTAGTGGTTATCATGATGAACACATATTTCCATCAGAGGGACCTAGATTTGCTGGACAAGCAGCAATTCTAAAGGTTATATCATATGATGTTGAAGTGAAATATGAAAGTAAGGCTGCTGGAGAGCTGGTAACACTAGAGGAAAGTGGGGACTACCATAAAGCTATACCAGATCAATTACAGTGGCAACAATCACTTGATACAGCATGCAAGATGGGAGAGTACAATAGCGGTATATTATCGGGTGTATCGTCGCAGGCCCAAGCCAAGCAATATGCTGCTGTGAAACACTGTGCAGAGGTTATTACTGGTCTTAGTAGTGTTACGTGTACCCATGATGTCTATCTACCTTTTACTAGTGAATCTAATGATAAGACCTTGACCATACTCATATCAGGGACAATGCTTGTGTGCTATTGTTCTTATGTAACAGCCCAGAAGGATTGTATCAGTGACGAGTACTGGTATGCTGCTAATACCTTCCAAGTGAGAGGTCCATGGAGATACCCAGGAGAGGATGCTCTACATTGGGAGGTCCCTATAGGCCGTACATTCGCCTTGAATATAGCTCGAGGGTGGGGACTAGGTCTACATAGACGCGATGGTGTTTATGGTAACATTACAGCAGGATGGTCACAGGATTATATACGTATCTTACCACCTGGTGGTACATGTACATCTAGTGATTATAATCCTAGGGGGACTGCATTAGGCATTAAAGTGAGGTCAATAGACCACTGATCACAGCAGTTTATATAGGGATCAGGTAGGATGCCCATCCATCGACCCAGGGGAATGTACTCTAGTAGCATCATATGACAACATACCACTCCTCACCTATAGGAGCAAAGATGATCCAAGCCTACCCAGGATACTCAAGGTGGTATTATCTTGCAGCCCGCGATGATAGCAGAACGGCTGTGATACTCAGATAGATGCATCGGGGATGGGTACTACACTGCTACACTTTAATGGTAGCATAGATAAGATAATCAATACTGGCGATCTCATATTGTTGGATCCTGATGTAATCACTATTGGTGGTAAATCTTCGATCGCTATGGGTGGTGGAACAACTATGACACCATTGGAGAGGTGGCATGTATACAAGTTGGCGGGTAGAAGGCCATATGCTGATACATTGAAGGCTATGCTTGAACTAGGCTATCCTTCTCAACAGTGTGGTACCAACACTGACTGCAATGACCATATAACAGGCCATAGGGTAATCCGGATCAGGAATAGTCATACTCTAGCTTACTTTCAGGTCATGGTCATGTCCTCTACTGTTGTTAGCATCCCTATTGGCTTTGGCCCTTCCGATCCAGGCTTTGGATTCGAGGTCAGTGGAGTGCATCAAGCAGCAGGTCATTGGGAGATCCATAGCAAGGCGTGGACTACCCAGTACTTGAGGGTAATATGATGGAGGATAGCCATTATCATTGGCATGACGATAGTGATGCTACTACTCCTAGTAGGCTACCAGAACTGTGGATAATTTGGTGGTATGTTGGGGTACTGTAGATGAAGAGGAAGGAGATGGCAATACTACAAGGCATTATCACCTGCCACTGGTCTGGGAGCTAGTAGTGTAGTCAGATACTACTCCCAAGTGGGCACGCTGACTCTCATTGACCCCCCGACTATGGTGTCTGCAAAATTGTTCCTCACTAGTAGTATGGAAGGTGCCATCCAACCAGCGGTAATTCCCTAGGTGGATATCAATCTATCAACTACTATTACTATTGGCAGTAGTGACGGCCCACTTTAGGTGCTCAGCTTTACCCCCGGGCATGCTGATCAAGCTCTACAGCATGCGAGGAGTTACCCGAATGCCCGAATGCAGCTAAGGATAGTCTTCAGTAACTTGGATGTACTCGAACCTTACATCACTAGTGAGGAGGGATATACGATTAGCGATGCTGTATTGTAGAGTAATAGGCAATATGTCCCCGCTATTGGCATTAGAACAGTACAAGGCGATGGGTGGAACAGCCTCCAATACCTCAAGTGCAGTGATAGCGACATCTAATATGTCCTCACCCTTCCCTCGGGACGAGGAGGTACGAAGAGCTCCTAACTGGGGACATAGCTTCATCTTAGATATCTCCCTCACGAGCGTCCTCCAGTATATGTGGGGATATGTTCATAGAGTTATGGTCATCTGCGGTAGCAACAGGCTTCCCTCTACTATCCGGTGGTTGTTATTATACCAGAAGGTAATTGGCTATTACTATTGCCATCGGTTGTGAGGATATCGTCATAATTCAGCTACTATGACCATCCAGTGGGTAGCTCTTCTACTAGAGATGAAGATAAGACCCTCTATCGAGAGTTTATCTTGAGATTTCATCCAACCGAGGCATCCAACATTCTCGATAATCAGCCCCTTCTACTACGGGACACATGTGAAGGGAAGGATGGTGTTGTTGGACCATGCCGGTATCAACTCGTCTTCAACGTCAAGGTGAATACTGATGGCTAGTCTCATCGCCTTCTCCCAGCTGCCTAGGTGTCGCGGAGTATCTTCGCGGGTGATTCACACGTTCATATCTACTATGAGTGTAGTGATGATGATGACAATGGGGCATGTGGTGCGGATAGTATGTATACCCAAGGGGGCACGATGTAGCCTACATGAGCAATGCCGTTCGTAATACCGATATGCTTGGCTAGGTACCGAATATTCGACTACGGTTCAGCAGTTACCTCGCTTACAACTCGACTTCCATCTTCTGAGGCGGGATATGCACGATGGGACATGCACCTGGGTAAGGGAGGGAAGACTGTCCCTGTTGCTACCATGTTCCCTATCATCCATAGGAGGAGGCATAACGCTAGCTGGTATAGATCGTCAGCCTGATGGTGTGTTGGACCTGTCACCATCACCACAAGAAGGAGAAGAAGCATCATCTTCGACTACGGCCAACTTGACGGTCATGTCTGATCAGGGAACTCTCGTTTTGTGATCTATCGTATTTCCTTCCAGATCACTGTGGCGGGTAGTGACATACTGCCTACCTCAAGATTAATATTCCATCTATGGCCTTTAACCCAGTGGGATCTGCCAGCATCGGGTTGCCGAGTCAGTTGCACCATGCCTAACCTCACCTACTGTGGGAATCCAACGTGTATGTCTGCTCACGATAAGGATACAATCTAATATGCGTTAAGCTCTTGTTAGGTCAGTTCGTCTCCCTCACGGAATACACAGGCAATAACGCAATATCTTTAGCCTTCGATCCCAGCATGGTCCCGATACAGCTCCTTAATGCGTGTACCTTCATTTTCCGGGAAATTTCCCTTCCAAAGTAATGCCGAAGGCTATTGTGATGAAAGTGACCCCGGCCCGATTCGAACGGACAACCTTCTGATCTGGAGTCAGATGCGCTACCGTTGCGCCACAGGGCCTTGTGTTGCTGTATCCGATAGTCGAGGCCAAACTGTGGATTCATAGGTTCGCTGGTCTATTCCCGACTCGCATCGCTGCAGAGATTCTACATAGCGATGGGTACCACTCGGATTTCATCACCTCTAAAGGTGCCATGGGCCACACGCTCCCCTTCCAACCCATTCTCAGGTCTACTCTTCCTCAAACCATCTGGTCTTACTACAAGTACTGCAAGCCATGCTGTTGGTAGTATACTGAAGTGGGGTATTGCTGAGTATGGCAGCAAGCCCTTCGAATATGATAGAAACAATGCCCTCTATGTATGTCTCGGCGCGGTTATCTCTGCCGTCTCATCTGCTCGTGTATCATCAGTGCATTCCCCTTACCCAGGTGAGGCTGAGAATACCATCTACCCTCCGCCAGCAGCCATTAACTCTACAGAGTAACGGCTTATCTTTACCAAGAGCATCCATCGAATTAAGTCTCCCTCATGGTTACGCGTGTAGGACTACAAGTCACACCCTGCTCTATCAAGTCAGCCTATCAGGCTTGGTGGCTGACCCCGCTACAGCAGAGGGGATGATAATCCCAGACATCCTTACTCTGGATACCACTGAGCATCATTACACTCGCATCCCACCCAACAGTGGTACATGGTCTAGTAACATCACTAACCCTTGCTGCAGTAACATCTGCAGGTCAGAAGGATGCCTTGTCTGTTGCTGTTGCTGACAATTTCCGAAAGGTATTCCCTGACCGATGGGACGACCCTCTTCGGTGGCACCGTTTTCTATGTGCCATTGGCTGTACGTAACCCTCCTAGCGCTTTATTCAAGGTGGTCACCTTTGAGGAGTGATCGTGAACCACACTCTTCATCTTAGTCGTCACCATCCAACATCTGGACTGTTACCTTCACATCCAATGGTCAGCTCACTGCTAACGACATAACTACAAATACCACAACATCCAATAACATGAGCAGTACCGTTATCGTCTACTCCTTCAATGATTTACCCTTCCTACCACTGGAGCATGAGGATGATACATTCGCAGGCAATGTGGTGGGTCATACCCCATACCATAGTAGTGCTGCAGTATCATCTGTCTAGGGTGTACTCCAAAGTATGCTATTCGCTACTCTCCAACCTCTTACAGGACTAGGATGGGTGGAGGCTCAAACTCATTGGCTCGCCTTATTCTTTGAGGTATGCTCGTTGGTATACGGGTGCAGTATGGCATCACATTAGGTGAAGTCCGAAATCGGCGTGGGCGGTACCATCATCCTCGAGGCCCCAATCGGGTTCGATTTTTCTAACCCTTGTCAAATCGATCGCATACCAGAAAGGTGATCTTTCGCTCTGTATAACTTATAATCAAGATGAGGGTGTAGATATATAACGCCAGTTGATAGTAATACCGCCCACTTGCCTGGCAGTACTACTTGTACAGGGAGGAAGAGAGATGGTATGATGATAAGGCTCCTCCCTATTGATAGCGATGATGATAATCAATGGCCTATTGCTGAAATCAAAGTAGCCTCTCCCCTCATCTATCCATAAAGGTGTAGTGTACTATTAGGTATCTGGATTCATAGAGGGTAACAGTAATCGATATGCTCTGATCATTAGGACTACCAACCCTCATTCATGGGAGGTATATCAGCATTATCAATGGCGCTTATATGTGGCTGATAATAGTAATCCTAACCCTAGGCATAGCCCACTATCGTGCCTATAGATGGATATGTAGTCGAGGGGACACCATGGCCCATACCATTCACATGGCCCAATCATCATTTACTCCCATCAACATCATCCCTTACCGAATCAATATCTACCTACGATTATCCACAACGCTCATGGGCAATCTATCAGAGTAAGTCTTTGAGCATCATCGTCATCATCGCTATTGCATGCCAGATGTACTCCCAACTTCTCTTTATTATGCTGAGGGAGACGAGGCTATGGTACGAGCCTCGATTAATAGTAAGTACTATCCTCTCCAGTTACCCTATCACTATCGTGGAGGGATATCCACTACCCTATATGTGTACCCTATTATCATAACATCCAATATAGATATGGAAACTAGAATGCGCATGACAGCACCATCAGGGTATGTGTGGGAGTTCGAACAAGATGCCCGATACGGCAGCATCCCTTCTGAGTATAATGTCCATACCATACCAGGGTCTCATCCTATCATAGATAATACCCAAAGGCAGCTAATATGGGATGAGGTTCTACTAACTCCTCATGTTGCCTATGGATTTACCCATAGGATAAGGATACCTGACAACGACCCAATAGACGGTCTCAACAACTGTGTGTTAGAAGTTGGTTACTACTATAATGGTGACGATTATACCCTGCGTATTCGACATGGTGTAGCCTCGATGGATGCTGGCTCCATTAGGGTTATCAATAGTATGCATATTGGGTATCTCACTGACCTAGCTTCTTATGGACGTAACACCATTGATATAACCTTCACTCTAGTCACAGCTCTACCTCCTGGTGGAGGGATTATCATTAGAGCTAACGACCTAGCAAAAGGCCTAGTGATTGATGGTAGCAGTACCAGTGATTCCTTCAATGAGGCTAGTACTACATGTACACCTCTAGATGTGACAGATCACTCTACTAACACTCTACCATCGACTGCAACATGCGAGTAGTAGAATGAAGGGCCCTATCATTGAATACAGGGTTGATCATCTTCAGAGTAGTATCACGCAGAGGGCATGACGCCTGGGCACCCAAGGGGGGAGACTCATCGCAAACTACTGTATTTGGACTTATCATAATCATTACCGCAACAGCTAGTGGTGACTCTAGACGTATGCAAGATAATGAAGAAGTGTATATGAGTGAAGGGATGATACACCCAGGGAGGTATATAACTGTAGTAGACTTATCTTTCAAGAGTAGACTGATGGTAGTAGTAGATACAACCTAAGATTAGGATGTAAGAATCCCGATACACCAACGAATGGAGATGAGATAATATGGACCATTGAGAGGTGTAGCCCCCATTGATTCCTCATCTCATCCACTCTCAAGTTACTATGATGTTGGTAAATACCCCATAGGGGGTGCATCAATAGCCGATACTAAGGCTACTGTGGCTGGATTACAGATAAATGCTAGGATGAATGAGGCTTATATAATAGAAGATACTACTATACTCAGTAGA